GTTAAAAAAAACTGAGTTCCTTAGTTCTACTTTTAGATATTGTGTTGGCCTTGAGGAGGGCAGGGAGTGTATGTGTATGCATAAATGTGTGTGCACGTGTGTGTATGTTTTGTATTGTTCTCTTACTGTAAGTGCTGAATAGCATAGACTCAAAAATGGTCCATTATATCATTTCTGTTTGCTATAATGTGGACTTAATATCAAATTTAACAAATAAATACCTAGCATATAATGAGCATTTCATGTTACTGCATTTTTGAGGTAACATTGGATTAAAAAACTCTATGTTGTCCAGAGAGAGGCACACATCATGACTTTTAAGTGTAGAGAAGTATAAGCAAAAATTATGATTTGAATATTCAAATCATTAAATACCACCATCTTTATTATAAATTAAGAAATCCTATGAATAGTAACATCAATTGCCATTTATATCTTATGAATAATCATTTTAATCTAGGAGATTAGGAATAATTTGCCTGTTGTAATCTAGCTTTGTAATGTATAAAGAGAATCTTAATTTTAAATTATAACAAGTTGGGTGATTAGTTATCTTTTTTTGTTGCTGTTGTTAGCAAAGTTAAATGATAAGCATTTTGAAATCATAGTAAAAATAAAAGCAACTTCGTGAAGAAATAAAATGTGCTTTATGTGTGTTTAAAGGCCTTAAATTTTATTAATAAAAATGCCATTGTCACGTTGTTAGAGAGTGACCTTTAATGGTATACGCAAGGAACTCTTTGAGCATATCAAATTTATTATCGCCTGGGTTTTAAGCGTTCAAAATTACAACTTGCTCAGCAAATGTGAAAAATAATGTTTCTCGGTGTATATTAACTTGCACTGTTAGGTCCTTTTTTGTTAATACTGAATTATAAAATGTTCATATATAGTCAAGTTATAGTCACAATAAAATTAAAGGAAGCAGTGAGTACTTGACAGCTGGTGAATTATGAAACCACTTTTTCATTAGTCATTGCTTTATTTGTATATAATACTCAAATTGATCTACAGATCCATCTAGTCCTTTATTGTACAAGATTACTATGCAGTATTATCAGAACTTAGAATTTTATCACTTCCTGTACACAAATATTATTGAGCCAACAATACATTACATGCTAGTTATATTGAGAATATTATTTTAGAACTAGGAAAAGACCACTAAAAGGGAATAGTTGTCACTATTTAAATGAAATAATCGATGTGCCACATACAGATTTTACATTCCAACAAAGCTATATTTAAGCAGATGTGAAATAACAGTGAAAATTGTATGTGAAATTTTGAGGCAAATGAACTGTCAGTGACAAATTTAGCTTAATCAACCAAGTTTCCTGTAAGAAAGTTTTGATATTGTTTTGAAGGAAGACTGTGATTTGACCCTCTAGAGAGCAGCTCAAACAGCAGAAAGAGTCAGATGTGCCTTGTGCAAGGGGGCAGACAGGTTTGTCTAACTAGTACAAAGGTTGTGCTGTCAACACCAATACCCTTGGTCCTCTGATTTTATCTTTAAATGTATAATAAGAGACTGCTTGGAATAAAGAAATGGACATAAATCAAAATCCTGTCTCCATTCACTCAAGCAGATTGCTTTCTGAGCTCATTATGCATAAGAATGCTAATCTTATGATGTGGTTATAAGACTTAAAGGTGCTAATCTATGTACAATACTTAGCACATAATGGGCTCTAAACAAATATTAGTCCTTTTCCTTTTTAAAGGTCTAATACAACACTATGATATGCTACCAGAGAATTTAAGCCTCATTGTCACCATTTTAAGATTAAATACACTACACAGTCAAAAGTTGAGTGTACAATGAAATCACCATTATTTGGGGTACTCAGAATTGTCTTTGAACACATTTTCTGCTATTGCTCAGGTGCTTAGAGAAGGATCAGAAGTAGTTCAAGAGCCCAGTAGGACCTTTGACCTACCTTCCTTAACACCATGTACTGTGCCAAATGGATATGGTCATGGGATCCCTAAGAAACTGTTTCAACATAGGAGTTCTAAGGTAGGGGCTGTTCTACCAAGAAGCTAAAGAGCTTAAGCTTCAGAGGCTCCTCAAGTTACATAACTTCTTCATAAAACCTGATCTACTCTGACTGGACTGTCTGGTGAAGGGAAAATAGTTCAATATAATTTTAAAAGAATAAGGTGGTCAATCCCAGGAAAAGGAAGTTTTACCAAATAATGATTTGTTAGTAACCCTTATCCATAGATGTTCCTATTTTTTTACCACAAACTTACCCTGCTGTCCAGCAAAGTGCTCTCTTAGCAAGCATCAGCCAAAGAATTACCCATATGATGAAGTGAGACAGGGGACCACTGACAATTGGGCAATTGGGGTGTAGAGTTGTATTACCCAGGTATTTGGTCACTCACATTTTTTGATGAGTAAGGGAAAAATATTGATTGGAATCAATAATATATTGATCTGACTCAGAATTTTCCAAATAATAATTATGTGTGTGTGTGTGTGTGTATATATATATATATATATATATGTAGCCTAACTTATTATATATATAACATAAACATATATATATTTTCATATTTTTTATTTTTATATCAGTATAATGTTTAACTTGAGGCTTGAGGGAGGTCAATTCTTTTTGTATAGCTAGTGGAACCAGATTTCTAACTCAGGGCTTCTTTTGGTCCAAGTCCAGGTACTTCAACTTTCCTGTGGGGTTCACACTTATCTGTCAAGAACCATCATCCATTAGGGGTGAAAATGTTTAACCTATAACATACCTAATGATTTTGCCAGGTACTTAGTTAACTCTTTTATCTGGATTCATTCACTTATCTAATTAAGCAAGTCAATCATTGTGTTTCTTATAATGTGCTGCCTTCTACTTCGTTATTGTTTCCTCAGTATTGTCAATGCCAATACTACCCCAGGTAGATGTTTTGCTCAAATGGAAGTTTTCGCCATTATTATGGTTATTATCTGTTTTTATTTCAATAGGAGCCTCAGGTGTCTTTTAAAATTCACATTGCTCCTTTAAATTTTTTTTTTCACCTCAGTTGAAATACAATATATGATTTGGAGTTAAAATTTCAAAATGGGGCCCTCCCTGGTGGCACAACGAGTTAAAGCACGGCATTATGAAACTTATCTACAACCACTGCAGCATGAGTTCAATCCCCGCCCAGGGAGTGACCCACATGGCGTGGCAGACCTCTCCTGGTGTTCCCCTTAGAGTGTACTTCAGTGAATCTGCCTGTTCTGCTCCCCATTCTGTATCTGGTGAATCCTTTCACCACCACCACCCCACACACACATATCTCTGTCCTGTACCCCAGCTCAGTATGTATAAATAAATCTTTTTAAAAAATAAAAATAAACTTTGAAATGTTCATATTCTCAAAACGTGTAAGTTTATATTTTAAAATGGATAATTTTCTCTCAAGCTCCTAAGTTATCTTTTCACATTAGAGATCTTCTCTTTTTCTGGATGATTTTATTCCATTTCCATAATTGTTGACCAGTTTTTTTTTTTAATTATAGTCATAACTACATTATTACAAAAGCACAGGGAGCCACGCTGTGCATCAGGTGAAGGAAAGCACCATTTCAAATGAAATATGTAAATTTGTGGACTGTGGTCAAAACTAAACTAAAAGTCACGTGACCACTGGCTTGTTTACATGTGTTAATTGTGAAGTTCCCCACTGCATAAACACATCCACTGACACACAGTTAAAGTGAAAAATATAAATACACACACACACCACTGAGCAGATAGAAATAGTATTCAGTATGGGCTTCACAGAAAAAGATTCATGTATATCCTATTTGTCACCTATCATGTATATTATATTTATATATATACTATATATATATAAAATATGTATTAGATATATAAATATATAATATATACATAAATATATACGTAAATATATACTTAAATATCTATATATATATATATATATATATATATACAGATATGTAATATATGTCCTAAATTGATAAATAGCAGTCTGGTGAATACTCTAAGAATATTTGGAGATACAGTAAGTGAGAATTGACTTGAATGTAATAAGTACGTACTCTGTAGTAAAATGGGAAGGCCTTTTAAAAAAGGCCCTTTAAAAAAGAAGATCAACTATCTTTTAGTCACAAGAATTGAGCAGTATAACCAAATCTTTTTTATGAAATATTGTTATTTTGTCCATGGCTGCTCACTAAAAGTGAGCATCTTAAATGATGCCTCTGACTTATACCCAATGTCCACACGGATCCTGGGTCTCAACTATCCAATTATGTCTCAAAGAAAAACTTCTTAATTATGACATAGCTTTGGTACTTGATTGACCAGCACATTGAGAGCTTTATAGATGATTCAGGAATAAAATCCTTGTTATTTTATGGTTGAAATTGTATTTACATGTAACTACTGCAGCAATAAAGGTGCTTAGTTGAACAGATGAAATTGTATGAACAGTCCAATAAACATACTGCAAATGATACTAAATTTGGAAACTAAAATGGTATGGAAAACACACTTACAGCTGCTATCATTTCCTCTGTAAAGAGATTTCTGGTCCTTAATATTTCTTGAAAAGCTTTATATCATCCTTGCTTTTAAGAAATATTCTTCAGTACTTATTTCCCAGGTTTCCTAGTTCTTGCTGATCATAGCATAAACAAAATTAACCTTCACTGAGTTTTAAATTGCCTGAAACCATTGAGTTAGGTGTTTATCTAGAAAGATAAGTGAGTCTCCTTTGGGATATGTTTGTGTATAAACTAGTTAAAATAAGCTAACAGCATAAGTACCGAAATGTTGCTTTCACATGGAAACTATTTGATGTAAATACGATCTTGGAGAACATGATTATATACAAATTGACAGTCTTGTGAATCTTCTGCAAAGCATTTATTTTGGAGAAACTCATAATTGTTGTTCCATTAAATTTGCCACATTCTACTTTTTAAAAAATATTAGTAACCTCTCCTTTTCTCATATCTTTTGTTAATCCAGATCCACATACAAAGAACTGAAGGATGTGACCATATGACCTGCTCACAATGTAACACTAATTTTTGTTATCGATGTGGGGAGAGATACCGCCAGCTCCGATTCTTTGGAGACCACACATCAAACCTCAGTATATTTGGATGCAAATATCGCTACCTCCCAGAGAGACCTCATCTAAGGAGATTAGTGCGAGGGTCTGTCTGCGGTGAGTATTTCATATGATTTATAGGAATTCTTCCCTGGAAAGTGGCACAAGAACTTAAAAATGTAATAGTCATGATAATGCTAAACACCTGCCAGATATTCTAGTGGGGCTTTACTCCACAACAAGAGCAACATATCGTCTCTCCCTTTGACCCTTTGAGTTTAAACCTAAAAACCTTATGTTTTTTAGCAAGACACTACTTATATGACCAGCAGCCTTTCTTCAAAAAGTTAATGATTGACCATATGGAATCTTTAGTCTTCAAAATATAAACTTTGAAGTTATATTTTAAGCCACCTGACAAGACACACAATATAATTTATTTTTGTACTGATAAATCCTTATAATGGATCTTGTGTATATATCCTCCCTTCATTCAAAGAGACTGTGCAGCACCATAAAAGAAATCAGAACATTCCAGCACCCCTTAATGGAGTACCCTTAGCATCTCAGTAGTTGATAGAGCTTTGTATATATTTTGTATCAGTTAATAGTTCACGTTTGCCATTAATAGTTAAAGACGTGAGCATCAAAAGTGTTCATTGTGCGCAGACAGAGCTTAAATATCCAAGTGCAAATACTTTAATGAATTGGCTTTTTATCCTCCCTTCATCCTTAACAGTGCATAGTTTATATGCAGATATGCAAACAAATTCTTGCTCAGGCCTAATGCCACCAAATTAGTGTGAGGAAGTGTTCTCCTGACCTAATAATTCTTCCTACAGTAGCTCCCTACTCCTCTGGAATGTACCATTATGAGTTTTTATCCTCTCTTTCATCATGCAGAGCAGAAAACAACTTCCTTTATTTAAGAATGACTTAAAACAGGGGCTTTCCTGGTGGCGCAGCGGGTTAAAGCACAGCACTGAGAATCTAAAGCCACTTCCACATGAGTTCGATTCCCGCCTGCCCTGGAGGTGACCACATGGCGTGGCAGACCTCTCCTGCTCCCCTCAGCAGTGTACTTCATCGATCTGCCTGTTCTGTTCCCCACTCTGTCTCTGGTGAAGCCTCTCGCCACCCCGTGATCTTCTGGCCTGTACCCCAGTTCTGTATGCACAAATAAATAAATCTTTAAAAAAAAAAAAAAGGGATGACTTAAACAAAAATGAAAAGGAAATCAAATGAGCAATTCAAAGATTATTTAAAAAATAAAAATGCAGAGCTCTGGTATTTATTTTTCTTTCTCTAGCACTCTGCTGTGTATGTAGTACTTATTATGGTCTATAGTTTCCCTTTTTTCCTGCCTTTGCCTAGTTTTCTCTCTTTAGCTCTCCCTCAGCTCACTGTAGCCATAAATCACATCCCCTCACCAGCAACATATGCTGGCCGATCAAAATGAAATTGGTATCAATAATGTATTTCTATCAGATAAAAGACAGAACATGTATTTTAAAATTCACTGCAGTATCTGGAATTGAGTAGCATCATTTCCTAAAATCTTGTTCTATCTGAAAATATCCTCACTGATCTTTAGGTAAACATAATTTTCCATAACTAAAAGCATTCAGTAAAGTCAAGATTGGGGCTAATGGTTTTGCAGTGGTTTTCTGAACCTTTACAGAGATGTAATTATGTAACTAATATTTACTTAAATAAACTTCAGAGAGATAGCTAAGGGACTAAAACATATTTATAACAACACTACCATGAGAAACCCAATTACAAATTAAATTTGAGTTATAAACTGTTTGTCAATCTGTATATACAAAAGAAATTTAAAAGCAAACTCATATCCTTGGCATTGTTAAAGTCATTTATTTCCATTTCATTGCCAGTTTGTGGTAAGATGTTTTGCAATTTTTGTTTTTAATAGTCTTTGATTTGACCACTTGATTTCTTTTTTATTTTCATTTAGTCATTCTTAAATAAGGGAAGTTGTTTTCTGCCCCATTTGTCCAAAAGTAGTATTTTGGATGCATTTTCTTTGGTGTTCTCTTTATCTGGACACCACCAGAACCTTCTTCAGAGGTTATAAATTTAGTGTTATGTAAAAATGACATAAATAATGTATATGTGATAAAAATCATTTAGTATTCTATAACATGGGTATCCCATTGATCATGTCAGCAGGAAATATTTTCTCTGTGCACTATTTTATGTTAACTTTAGGAACAGCTTTTTGAGAGCAGTTTCCTTTTTTGCCTCTTCTTTACTTTGTGCTTGTGTTCACACACGTGTGTACACATGATTGTGTCAGACAAACCTGACAAAGTAGGGTGCATCTACTGCCTTCATGCTTCCTCCATGACTGCCGCTGACTGCTCTTGGACTAGACATAGCCCTCCCTCACATATAATAGTGAAGAAAATATAGATTTTTGTCAAAGATTTATTTATTTATGCATAGAGAGCTGGGGTGCAGGCCAGAGGTGCAGGGGCGGTAAGAGGATTCACCAGAGAGAATGGGTGCAGAACAGGTGGATCTGCACAAAGGTCAACACAAGTGGTTACTCTGTAACTCACACATTACCTGCTCCCTGCAGTCTAAGAGAAAAAGCAGATTACAGCAAAGCCTTCCCGCCCTCTGTCCTTGTGTGTGATGCAACTCTCTTGCTCACTCAGATTGGGACTGTAGCCTCTAAATATCTGTGGTCACAGCTGAAGAAAGATACTGTTGTTCTGTCAGAGCTAAAGGATGAAAAATATGTCCTCCATCCAGGTGCCCAGCTGTAATTAGAGTCTAGCTTTTAGAGAATAAGAGAACAGATTTGGGAGTGATTAGCAGTCTTTGGCTTTGGGAGAGCTCAAGGGAGATCTCTACTTGTCAGGGAGCAGATTTGTTAATGGATGGTGTTGGAAAGAAAAGTTATTGAGAAAAGATGTTTAATTCTCTTTATTCATTGAAAATATTCAGTATTAAAGCATATAATAGTAAAGAAAATATAGATTTTTAAAAAGATTTCTTTATGCACAAAGAGCTGGGCTATACAGGCCAGAGGTGCAGGAGCTGTGAGAGGATTCACCAGAGACGGAGTGGGGATCAGAACAGGCCAAATGAGGGCGTACACTGCTGAGGGGAGCAGCAGGCGGGTCAGGAGAGGTCTGCCGCGCCACATGGATCACCTCCGGGGCGGAGATAGAACTCATGCTGAAGTGGCTTTAGCTTTTTATAAAAGTGCTGTGCTTTAACCAGTGTGCCACCAGAGAGGGCCAAGAAAATAGAGATTGTAACTTATTTCTAGATAAGTAAAAGTCATGGTTAGACTGTCTATAAATTGAAAAATAGCCTTTTAAATTAGATATTAAAACTGTATTTTCTTCCTATCTGGTTATGGTTTCAAAGACCATTGCCTAAAAGTTAATAAAAAAGTTATTTTTCTGACAAATTTCCAACAAATGACTGTATTATGTTCTGGGGTTTTTGTTTGTTTTATAATTTTTTAATGTAATTGCTTATTCCAAAGTACTTTTCTTTTTGTCTTTTGGGTAATGGTGTTTCCTAGTTTATTCTTAAACACTATGTGATTCTATTGCTTAGTCCCTGCTTTCTTAATTGCTGTTGTTTATGCAGCTATAGTATTATATCACATTCTTTAAGATCAAGATAACTACATAATGATGAGATATTAACTACTAGTGTGTGTGTGTGTGTGTGTGTTAATGCCTTTTAAAGTTAATAGCATTCCAATTGTGAACTTTTGCTATGTTCACATGTGACTAAAGTTCATTATTATCACTCCTCAGTTATGCATTTAGAAGAAAAAATGCTGCTCAATACCATTTGACATTCTTCCTAGAGTATCCTAAAAGTTTAAATTTTCTAAAATTACTCACTTCAGTAGCCCTGAACATACTGTATGTTGTTGGTAATTTTCTCTTAATAGTAGTATTCAAACATCCCATTTATAGTTTATTATATATTCATATTTTTTGTTTTCTTTCAACCTGCAAAGTAAATAAATTGCCTTTCAGATATGAATTTGGGCAGCTAACCTTGGTAACTCCTTCTAGCTCTCCATTTTGTAAGCTAATTAGATTTTCTCCTGCCAGCTCAGACTGTGTCACTTCTTTCTTAATCTTTCAGAATACTGAAAATGGAAGATATAAGATAAAATCACAAAGATGAAAGGGCCTGGTATAATAAAGTGAGCCTGTGCTTTGGCTATTTTTTGGTTATAAAGGATAAATAACTTATGAGATGTTTGAGTAAGTTGCCCAGAACTTCAGGGATATTACAGAATTTGTGTATGTGTTGTATATCTGATACATTTCTTTAGAGGAATATAGCCTTAATTACAATCAGAATTCTTTAGAAAATAGCAGAGTACTGTATTATTTAAAAAAGCATTGTTGAAAATATTTGGACAGTAGTTTTAAGACTCTAAATGGTTTATGGTTTTGCCTTTTGTTTTCCAGCTGGAAAATTATTTGTTGCACCTCTAATCCTGGTTTTGGGATTAGCACTAGGGGCCATAGCAGTTGTAATCGGTAAGCAACACTTAACATATCTGAGATTAGATTTCTGTGAGTGCCATAGAGATAGAATGTAAGTGCAGTAACGTGAGTCAGTTACTAAGTGGACATGATTTCTCTCCCATGTTTAGGAAGGTATCCAGCATATGGTATGGAAATTCAGAGAAGCATGCTTTGTCCAAGGATGTATTTGTGTGGCAAATATTGCACAACCTGTGAACAGCTTGATTCCAGTTGTCTTTTAAAGCATTAACCCCCTTTACCACCAAGGTTCATACAACTAGTATTTCATGAAAGAATCCAGTAGAATAGAACCCAGATTTTCCAATTCTGAGTTCAAGTTGAAACATCAAAATCAAGAGTCTAGTGAAAGGGTACCATGGGTTTAAAGAAGTTACGTTCAACTTTTATACAATCATGTATCCAACCTATTAAGCACTGACAAAGAGAAAATGTTTCACTAAGTGTAGCATATAGCTCTTAAAGAAAAAGAAACTCAGAGAACAGCAATAATATCCTTAGACTGATAAAAATAGACTGGTTACCAGAGGGAATGTGGGGAAAAGGGAGAGAAGGTGATAGCATTGGTGCAGAGCTGTGGTAGCAGCTGAGTGGAGTTGTGTACATATGGAGGGGTGAGTGTACTCCCTAAATTATATAGTTATGATTGGAAGTCAGTAAAATTAATATATATATATATATATATATACACACACACACACACACACACACACACACACACACCAATTGTATTCATACAAGTATCAAAATACAAATTGTAAAAGCTTTGATTCTCATGCTCTAGTGTGCATTAGTATAACTTAGAGCACTGGTTAAAATATAGGTTGTGGGTTTCTACCCACAATTTCTGGGTAGAGCTGTAGTTCTAAAAAAGTTCTCAGGTGATATCACTGTTGCTTGAAGGACCATACCTTGAGAACCATTGCTTTAGAAAACGATAAAATAAATACTGTAGGAAGGGCTGCATCCAGAGTGATTCCATATAATTTACAAAGGTAATAGACTGGAAACACAAAATTGCGAATTAAAATTTTTGTTACTTCTAAATTAAACGACATTTCATATGTTAAGCTCTACTGAGCAAAAGTAATGTGCATATGCAGGACAGACAGAATTATAAAGTAACAGGCATTGAATGATTTGGACATTATAAACATAGGTATACTGTTATCTGCATTTTACAATTGAGGAAATTAAGACCTCAAAAGTAAAAGAAATGGGAATGAGCCGTGACATTTGGCTCCGCAGCCCATATTCTTAAGTAATAGGTTATACTGCCTGAGAATTAGATGGGTATAGAGTACATGTGATAAGGGATAATAATGAAGGCTTAAAACTAAGAGTTGATATATTTGTAAAAACATTGTTATAAATTTCACTCACGTCGATTATAAAGAAACAAAATAAAGGAACAGATAATACTAAACCAAACCAAATCTTTGATATATGAGTTGTCCTAGATATATGAGTTGAGGGTATTAAAGGGTGGGGAGTTGGGAACAAAAGGGAAAACAGCCCAGTAGCCAACAGTGGTGGGTGATGAGCACATGGGTGGTGGGTGTGGTGTGGTAATGTGCATCTGCAAAGTGATGAGCCCTTATCACTAAGTCATACAGTGTTGTGAACCAGTGTTACTGCAATAAAAAGGAGAAAGAAGCACATAAAAGAATAGAGAATAAAATATTGTAGAAATAGGTATATTTAATATATAGAAATCATGCCTCCTATGTGCAGGTCTTGCCAAGTAGTAGATTATTTGTAAATGGTTTGGGAAATGGAAATTTTCATTTATAAAACTAAATGTCTCTCCTATGACTAACTTCTAATCTTTTGTTTTCAATTCTCAGGTTTATTTGTGTTTCCTATCTATTGCCTTTGTAAAAAACAGAGAAAACGATCACGGACAGGTATGCACTGGTGAAATGCAAATAATTCATCCAACTGAGCTTTCCCAGGTAGGAGCTATACAGAAGGGTACCCCCATCTGAGAGTCATGTCTTGAAAAACACTGAGAGGAACCTTCTGCCGTCTCATCTCCCTGTGGCCCTTGGCCAGCCACAATACCTAGAGCTTCGGTGCACTCCCCATATGGTGTCCTGTCCTTTCCTTATTCAGATTGCTGCTTTTCAAAATGGTCACTTTCACAGACTATATTCATCAGTATCATAATGCTGACCTTCTTAATGGTTCTTGGAAGAAAATATTTTAATCAGGAACCAACTCTCCTCAGAATTGTCTGAGCCTGCTCTCCCGAGCATTGCTTGGATGTCTCCATACCTACACCTCCCTCCAAGCCATCTTCTGAGACTTGGTGTGAATAGCTCAAGTGCCATCTCTACCAACAAGCAAAGCCACTTTTCAGAAGATAAAGACTCATCATGTGCACCTGTTTTCTTCTGTAGCCTAAGAAGTAGAACCCCTACATCCTTCAGATGTTATAATTGTTAAAAATGCCCAAAAGGAAACTAATGAAACTAAATTAATGGGAAGAATCATGAGTTATTGAGTGTATATGTGTAAGGGTGTGAATGTGTGTATATAAATATCTGTATTGAAATCCGTCCATAAACCTTGTACTTGTCAAGTTCTCTGCCTCTACACTGTCTTTCCACATTTTCATGGACATATTTAAAGATGATGGTTCCTTTGTGGGCATAATTTGGTAATGTACTGAATTAAAATCAATGTAGACAACAGGCTATTTTGATGTTTACCCTTTCTATTTCTTTCTCTCTCTGTCTTGTGTCACACACACACAGAAACTTGTGCAATGTCACCTCAAGGATTATCAAACTTGTAACTGACAAAACTGAGAGGATGCTATTAGGAAATTCTCAAAACCTAAATTTTTTTTTTTCAAATTTCCTGTATGTTAGCATAAATCCTTCAGACTGGACTAGTTAATTTAAATAACAAATTTTCCATAAACAGTACAATTTATAACTATTCATAATTATATTATTGGTCAAGATGTGATACTATTTAATAGTCATACCCCTTATCTCTCCTTTTTCTTTCTCCCTTATTTTTATTTTTCATGAAAACAAATACTAGTTATAAAGGATTTTTCTCATGTTTACTATTCAAATACATAATAATGTTGATATCTTCCAATGGATGGGCTAATTTGAAAACAAAGTTTTTGTGTTTGTGAGCATATCTAAAGTATAAACTGCTTTTGAATAAGGAAACTAAAGAAAAATGAAGGAACTTTTCCCAAGGAAAATTTTACCAAATTGACAAATCTTTAAAAATAAAAAAGGCCAAGGTAAATAAATTTATTCTTCCATTTCATCATGAAATTTCAGTAGCAGAAAGGAAGTAACAACATCTTTAAGAAAATATAGTCTCCAGATCCTTAAAACTAGCTTTCTGCCTAATATGTAGCATTTATGTGTCTGCCACATTGTCTGACCTGAAAGATTATGATAAAACATGCATAAACATGGATAGCTTATCTTTGTTGGGTTCTAGAATATAGGAACTTTTATCATTTGTGTTTGGTCTAAAAAGTCCATGACAGTGAAGTTTGCTTGCAGGATAACAAGCCAGCACACTTCCATGATTTCTGAATAACATCCAGAAAAAAAATACTGTAGTTTTTGGACTCACCTGTTTCCAATTGTAGGAGAGTTCTGGAATGACATATCTCTAAGGCATAACATGATATGAGGGAAAAGTGATGCTCTAGTTCACAACTTCATCTTCCCATGTATCCATCTCTCCAGTTGAGAAATATTTATTGAGTGCCTATTCTATGTACTCTAGTACTAATATTAAAAGAATAAGATTTCTAACCTAAGTCCATGTATTTCTGCCATAAAAGTTCTTAATATTTGTAAAATTGTCTTTCTCTTACTTAGGTATTAGTTTGACAATATCTCAAGATGATGAATATTAAATCTAATAGATATGTTTGTATATGATACTTGTGTCTGTATATATGCATATCTATACAAAAAATATTTCAATAGCTGCATATGCATACATATGCCACATTTAAATATACCAAGTAGCTATATAATACACTCTCTGGTCTTTGAGCACCTATTTTCTTAGGTTATTGTATCTGGTGTCTTTGGCCAACTCAGGGATTTTTATTCCTTTCTTTGAATGACTTATCTTTTGGGGATATTTTTATATTATTTGGAAATGTTCCAATTTTCCACTTACAAAGTAGTGTCTGTTATCAGTGAAGGCTGTTTTCATCGGTGCTCAAGATAGTGTATTCAGTATTGCACAGAATTTTCATTTTTCTATTGCATATTTTAAATTAACCTGCATTTTTTCTCTTTAAATATTGATATATTAGGCCTTTCCATACTAATGTCTAAAAGTAATTATTTGTGACTTTTTAAAATTGTGTCAAGATCTTAAAAACAGGAGACAGTAAAAAAGGTCATTTACATGTTAGTGCCAACATTGAGGGTAAAACAATAGTATTCCAACTTTTGGAATAACTCTAAAAAAACTTGTAGGAGGATAAGCATGAACATAAAATACTTATCTTGCTGTCCAAGGCCTGTCATTTTTGTATTTTTTATAAATTTAATATATACGTTAACAAAAAAGCAAACTCTTTAACAAAAACTCAAACCATATAGAATTATAAAATGCAAATATCTTTGCTTACCTTACCCCTTGTTTTCTAGGGGTAACCACTGTTAATGGTCTCATGTCTTTCCAGACACTTTGTACAAGTACACAGATAAGTGTGTGTGTCTGTGTATGTGTATTAGTTTTATACAAATACAATAATAATATTGTCTTGTAGCTATATTTTTTATTTTTATTTGTAGACACCTTCCCATAAGAGTTCAAGTAAAGTTACCTCATTCTTTTGTACATAGTTATATATTCCATTGTGGGGCTATACTTCTATTAGTCCCTTGTTGAATGAATATCAAAATTGTTTTCACTTTGCTATTAGAAAACATTACTGAAGATCCCTTGCATATATTTTGTCACTGTGTGGGAACATTTCCATAAGTTTTTAAATTTGGCTTTTCTAAGATACTTGTAATAAAATGTTAATGTACTTTCAGTGAATGAATTCATAAAGATAGTATATTCGAGACCCTTTCTTGGAATAAAAAACAAAGATCACATTAAAATAGCATAATTTGAAAAGAAAAGCATCATTTGCAGCATAACCCTCCTCCCCAACTTGATTAATACCTTGCCAAAATTTATGAAAGAAAATCCACCATATTCCTATAAAAATAGAATTCTATAATATGTATGTTATATGAGGAGGATGCATTGATATTTCAGCTTCCTAGCTTTAAAGCTTGAGGTTTTAAATGAAATAGCCAAATTGATGTTGGTCACATATTTAAAAACCACTATCCATGTTCATGCATGTTGCTCCACAAAAGAACTGAATTATATCATCATGAAAAATAGAAGCATTATGTTCACAACTGTGAAAGACCACAATTATCTGTAGTAAAGTTAAGTAGAATGAATATAAGATCTTATTGTTTGGAGGAATGCTTATATATGTGGGTTAACATGAAACAGTCATTTCACAATGATTCCTAGCAGTTCCTAAGAAACTCTGTACATGGAGTTAAAAAAGAAGAGTCATCAGACCAACATCCTGTGGCCAGCACCTTGATTTTTCTGATAGATGTGTCATTCTTTCTGAAAGGTAGAATAGACAGGAAAACAATCAAAGATAATTAAACACCAGTCAGATTATAACCTGATACTTTTAATTGTCTTTCTCTACTTAGTATCAGAATTCAGTGGGTGCTATCAGGACAGCCTGTGCCATCCATCCTCTCCTGAATCCCAGATGAGTCTTGATCTTCCAATCCAAACAGTTCATGGCCTTTCGCTTCCTTAAAATACTTACAGGCCAACCATAACCCCTTCTGCTCCCTGACAGCCTCTTCATCTCTTTTGTCTCCATTCTTCTGATGCTTTTAACATCTCAGCAAGTTGGGGAGAGACAAAGGGGATGAAAAACTCAACATGGCATTAGCAAAGCATCATCCTTCCTTCCTGACCTTTAACAAGTTAGAGTAAATGTGCCAAAAATTTCTTCCAATTTCTCCTATAATAAATGCAATTGATTTAACATCTGACTATTTAGGCCACCTGTTAAATTTACAATGTTAAAAGAAAGTGTTCTGAATAACATGGAGTCACACATTTCCTTAAGTAACAAAACTTTAAAAATTCATGCCAAAATTCATTTTAGATGTTAAGTATATAAGCAAATTGTGTATGTCTTCATGTGAACCTTTACATTAGATTTTATGTTTATCTTTTCATAAATGTATCTGATACCTATCCCAACTATTGAAAGCAATTTTTCCTGTGGTCAACTTTATTGCTTTGTGTAAATATAGCCTTAAAACTCGATAATGCACTTTAAAATACTTGTGCCATTTAAGTGATTTGACAATTAAAGCAACATATATATATATGTATATATATATATGTGTGTGTGTGTGTGTGTATGTCACATACATGACAGAAGGAAAACAGTGTTAGCAAACATGTCGCCTCTTTAAATTTGGGAGGGGGAATTCAAAGCTGAAAATTTAAAGTAAGTAAAACACACCTGAAATATGCAAGTTTTTAAAATTAGAGCGATCTTACAAATTAGTATCTGGAGTGCAAACATAGTAAGCAATTAATAAAATTTACCTAATAGCCTTGTTAGAATATTTGTTTTGACATTTAAATACTTCCTACTGCAAGTTTGAACTGCATTTTCATAATTCATTAAATCTATAAAATAAATACCACTGACTTGAAATAGAGTATATCGAAACTATCACCAATAGCCAGTTTGAATATACTTTGTTTTTAAAGTTATTTTAATTATGACACTTTCCCTTTGGAAAATAAATTCCAAAACCCCAATTTTAATATGTATGTCTATAATTACTACTCTTATAAAATGGAAATAATTTTATGGATACATTAATACATATATTCTGTGTAAAGAGTTCCAAAATTTGGGGAGTATTTAAGATTATGAAATGTTACCTTTTGTTTGAAACTAATCATATCAATCTTTAAAAAAGACATTCAGTAGAACTTGTCATTCTGATTTAAAGGCTACATCTAATATTCACTTCATAATCAACTCTCATGTGGGTGTCCTATTATGCATCACTATTGTAAGGCTAGAATTTTAGGTGGCTTTAGCCAAACCCAAAGAATAGAGAGCCGTGTATATTTGGAACATTAGCTGAGACCTTCCTATGCCACAGACCATGTAAATCTCCATACATAGTGCTAATTTTAAAAGCATGTAGTCATGCATATTGCAAAGCATAGTCTTTTTTTGGCTAAAGAAGTGACTGTTTTGGGAATAACAATGTGAATCTAAATGGCAATAAGTCATTTAAAAATATTCATAAAAAAATTGTCCTGCCCCTTTTTGTTACTTCCATTTAGCTTGTAAACAGTTGCAATTAGTCTTCATTTGCATCACTTAGATAATGCAAACTTGTTAGCATAAAAAATAGTATTATTTTGCATTTTGGGTCTTAGATACTTTTGTGAGTGTACCATCATAAAAGGAGTCTGTGTTTGTGAAATGATACTTCAATGTCTCATTCCCATTTTCTTTTGGATTACCTGGCTATCTTGATTTTCCCTCTGTAGTTCCCTCCCTATCTTGGTCAAGTTTGGAATAAATTTGCCTCATATTAACTTCTTTAACACCTAATGAAAT